TCCTGGTTTGTATCTCACTGAAACGTACGACTGTCACGTTCGTGACGTATGGAAATACTTAAATGTTTCCGAGTGATCTAGCAGGCAGAGTAACACAAGTTCATTTTGTTCTTCATCATAATTTAGTCAAGATTTACATTTCTTTACTAGTTAGGAAGTAGTTAGAGGGCTGGCCAATGGATTGAGTGCAGCTTGGCTGTCACTAAAGATATTTAAATTCCTACTTCTCTTTCTGCTTTACGTCACGTTGTTTCCTCTGCATTAGATGTCAAATAACTTTTAGCTAACTACTTTTGACATAAACTATCAATAAAAAAGATTTTTTTCAATTTTTTATATTTTAATTTTTTGCTTATTTTATTTAGCATTACATATTCGCTTACATGTTATTTTGTAGGTGGTCTCTTATTTGAATTCGATCAGACATAGCATCCAAATGATAATATAAAATTTCGACATTTATTTTATTTTTCCTGAATACGAAAAATAAGTGTATTGGAAGTAATTTTTGAATGAGGATATTTAAATATAAGCTTGTAAAAGTAAAGGCGCGTGTATCACCATACACGTGATAGAAGTCAAACTTCTTAAAAAAGGTGTGAGTACCAGGTACTCACGAAATTTGATGTGTAAACATATGTATGTGTATGGCGCGGCAAACTATTAGGCGATTGAGTTACATAGATAGGTTTGGTTAGAAATTACGTCAATTTAGTTTCATTTTATTAATTTTGCTGATATATAATTTATTTACTCATTTTCCGGAAACACCACCTTATATGAATTCGCTCTGCTGGCACCCTTAGGACCGAGTTATAATCTGTGTTGCCATTTTAGCCGTTTTCAGGTTTGATTTGGCCGGTTGCGATAGCAAGCAGCCAGAGAAATTTCGTTTTAACCGGCAGCCGATTTGTTAGCCGTTTTGTAAAAAATCGCCGTTTTTAGCCTATTTTGCTATTTGCCCTGATTTTTTAAAATTCAAATATATATGTTTCCATATCTTTGACCCAAAATCTGTTAGAAATGGCTAGCCTTACCGCGGAAAAAATTTTTATGTCAGGAAGGGTTATATAATCAATTTAGACATTCGCGGTTACAAAAATTCCCACCCAGCTGAAAATTGGTAGGACTCTTCAAAACACCATCATAAATGAAATCTAGAAAGTCCTCATCGATCCGGTACCTGGAAAAAAAGTTACTCGGGGTCAAAAGTCACAAAAACGGGGTTTTCGCGATTTTTAGCAAAACGGGGAGTTTATCATAAAATTGGTTTAGACAAAAATAGTAGATCAGAAAATTATCTATAAAAAATGTCTAAATACTTTTTTCCTAAGAACCACCGTTTCCGAGATATAACGATTCAAAAAGTTGGAATATTTTTGACCGTGATCGTGGGAGTTTTTGGGTAACAAAACTGGTCAAATGTCATATTTATCAACTTTGATAGAAATATTTTTAAACATATTATTTCTTAGGCTATACAACCGAGCTATCAACGGGAAGTCATATAAGTTCCGACTTCTACTAGACCTTTGACGTACGTCAAAGAGAACATAGTCTTTAAGATTTTGTTTTCTTGTTTTAAATGCATGCATTGGTTCTTTCTTTTTTGGACCAATCTTAAAAGTACTACTAGCCACAACAGAAGAAAGTGTGCACTGTAATTCTTAACCAAATTTTCGTAATTTGCTTTTGATGTTTCATATATGTATGTATTCGTTTCCATAATTTCAAATGGGGCTCTTTTGGGAATTTATTTTTAGCAAAAATTTAAAAAACATTAATTTTGTATACTTGTCGGACAATATTTTTTTATAGGGATATACATTGGATCCTTGGCTAAAAAATCTGTGGTAAAAATGTCCCTTCTTTGCTATTTAAAATCAAAGAGTAAGCTCCTTCCATATCGATGCTCAATTAATTAAAAAACTATAAGTCTGACCATTAATAAGATGAGAATTACGTAACTTTCTGAGATTAAAATGCTTATAAAAAACCGGGTGCTTTTTCCAAAAAATAATATTCTGATCCGATTCGGTTTGCAGCCACAACTTTGAAAACAGAACTTTGTTGAAAACTTTCATTCCTGGAAAATATTAATTTATTGATGTGCATACTTCTTTGTTTTCGGTAGGGGTAAAATTTGCGAAGCTGTAACGCATAGCCCAGCAGAAAATTTGGAAGAGCATAGCATGTGTAATGCAACAGAAAATGTTTAAATTCATTAGAAGCACTCTGTGTTTACTTGCTATTGGAAATGGTTGCGTACATTTAGGCATATGCAGAGTAAGAGCAAATGCGGTTCAAATGATTGTTACTTCCGATTATGCAATCTCCGTGAATGCATAAGGCTATGTACCTATATTTATACCAGAGCTGTAAAATGATTGAATCAGTAGGATCTGCATACACTCGGCATTATTTTCAAAATTTTGTTTGTTTGGTTATACATATAAAAAAACCTCATTCCTGAGTGGCTTAAATTATTTTGAAACAAAAACAAAGGTAATGTGTTATTGAATGGTAGAGTTCCATTCAGTATAGAATGTGAATGGAACAGAAGCACTCGCAATGATCGTGATTGTCAATTTTGGTTGAATGCAAACACTTTTGATCATTCAGTGGTACACTGAAAAAAAGAGCCTCGACACTAGAAGAACGTCTTTATAGTAGAAAATAACCGTTTTTCTTCCACCACTGCTACAATTTGGTAAAGCATTAGCTGTGTTTTCGTATTCTCCAGCAAAAAATATCCAGTAACTTGCCAGTAACCAAATTTCGGAGCGTAAGCAAAAATTTGCTCTCAGTGAGAGAAACATGCAAGAAAGTACGAAAACGCAAAACTAGTAAGAAGTTGCAAGTTTTTGTGACAGCAGAATTTTATTTGGCGCGTAAATCGATCAAAAACAAAGAACAAAAAGTTTAAGCAGATAAAAGCGCGGGTGCAAATTTTAAATTAAAGTAAATAAAATGGAAAATAAAGAGCTAAATATAACTCTTACTCCTAGAACATTCAAGAGAGTTAATTATGGTAATTATAAAATTCATAAAATGTTATTATATATGCATGTACACACATTAATTTTAATTAAATTACGTTGTAGATGCTGATTATAGGCAGCACATAATTAGTCAAGTGGCTGGAGAACAAGTTTTCGAAAGCATAATTATAAATGAAGAACCCAGCGGAAGCTTTGCAATGGGAGAAAGTGTCTCGGGCGAATTGGAAGGAGAAGACTTCATTCCGATTGACGCGGAAACGTCAAAAAACAAAAAAACTTACGTGGTTAGAAGCGCCCACAAAACTCCTTTTAAACAGAGTGAAAGAGTTGCGAGGTATGGTTGGAAAAAAAGCGAGTTTGAAAAGCAAAAAGCATAAAGGGGATCACCATAAGCAATGACCTTTGCGAGCAGGGGTACATGTATACCGCGCAANTATGGGGGTCACCATAAGCAATGACCTTTGCGAGCAGGGGTACATGTATACCGCGCAACAATTGGAAACAAAATTTTATACCCTGGAGAGGCAATATAAGCAAACGAAATTGAATAGCTTATAATCTGGAAGGGCAAGACAGATCTGTCCTTTTGAGGAGTAAATATTTTAATAAAATGTTGATTATGATGTGAAATAGTTAATGATTTTCTTCCATCTTTCTATTTAAAAAGTGAACTGGACGAGCTTTTAAGGGAAAGAAAATCAATTTTTCCTGAGGCGGTGTTGGACAGTGAAACTCAAAATTTTCCTGATGTCAGCGATCCCGAAAAATATCTCGAACAGTCACCAGCTGCGTCGGGTAACTATTACTCTGTACAGCACTCGGGTGGGAACTGGACCAAACCAATTTTTTTTAAGAGATTGAGTCATAGGTAAAAAAGTAATTTCTCCGTTTTTCGAAGTTAGCCTCCGAAATCGAGATAATGGCCTTCGAAGTTCGAAATTGGACCTTTGGTAAAAAATTATATTTAATTATTCTGATATGCATACCAGAAAATTACTAATTAGTAATACAATTGAATACCATATTTAAATAAAACAAATAATTATAACGATACCAACATTTTAAAAATTGGTTAGTAATTTTTTTGTTTAACTTTTTTTGGCTAACTTCGAAAAACGGAGAAATTACTTTTTTACCTATGACTCAATCTCTTGGTTTGGTCCAATACCCAGAAAAAAAGTTGATTTTGACGTACAGTTTTATTGATTTATATCGAACGTATTCCGTGTATGATTTTTTCATAATTTTCAGCAGATGATATGGATTTCACCCCATCCACTTCGAAAAAAAGGAAACCTAATTCTCCCGCAACTCCACCCGCCACAGGTATTCCAAATATGCATAATATTTATGTGAACAAAGTTGTATTACTCTTGTGCACAAGTACGCTCGGATACAAAACAGTATAACATGTTTACACATACGTTCCTACCTTTTTTATTCAAAAATGTATTTTTCTTTATATAGACGTCCCCGGCATTGGGCCATCAACATCTAAAAGAAGGAAGTCAGCACTTCAAAAGTATTAAGAAGAAAAAAAAAGTCGGATGAAAAGTTAAGAAAGTTGCTTGAAGAAAACATGAAAAGTAAGGCAGAAAGAGCAGAAGAGAAAGCTAGGATGGAGAGGGAGAAACTAGATTTACTAAAGTCAATGGTGGAAATATTAAAGAAATGACTAGTTTTGCAGTATGTGTTAAAAATATGCTTTAAAATTATGTTATGTTCACTAACACCTTTTTTTTTAATTTCAGACACCTCTACGAAAATTAAGCCATTTTAATCTGGAAATGAAGTACAAATGTTGTTTTATTATTAAATTTTTATTTGTATTTCATAATCACACTTTTTGTTAATTTTTTTCAATCAAACAGAGCCTTGCATGCTGCGGTATATTTTTGAAATACATGAATTGCTTAAACTTAGTAGTATGTTTTCAATGAAATGTGTGGTTTTAACAAAATGCCATAAAATTAATCACACAAACAAACAACTGCGGTTCTATGTATTACGACGAAGTTCTATCTCTTGGCATATAGGATCTCGCACATGATTCCCCCTTGAAATGTCGCCATGAGCGGTGAAGTCATCAGTAACATCTGGAGATGTGTCGCAAATAAAATCCAAATCATCTTCGTTAGCTATATTGTGCAAAACGCAACAGGCTCGAATGAAGTGGCAAAGTTTTTCCATTCCTCTGAGCTTACAATAATATATCTGACGGAATCTTTGTTTCAACATGCCAAACGAGTGTTCTATAGCGATACGTCCAGAGCTCAGATTTAAATTAAAGTATTTTTGGGCATTTGTTAAATGCCCATTATCTCTGTAGGGCGTTACTAAATATTTCTTGCAGGGATATGCAGAATCACCCAAAAGGTAGTAATCTAAAATAAAAATGCTGTTCTTATTCAAATAAGATTTTTTCATGTTTTGATTAATTTTACTTACCTCCACAATACGACGGCAACTTATCATAAATAGTGGAGTTTTGTAAAACCCAACTGTCGTGACTAGAACCAGGATATCCCACGAAAATGTTTATAAACGTAATTCCCTTCCTATTTATGTAATCGTCCTTTGATCTCTTTGGTGGGTCAATTTGGATGTGGGTTCCATCAATGCAACCTATAATTATATGATAGGTTATATAACAATAACTATGAATAGGAAGCCAAGGACCTCTTGCATGGATTACCTATTGCCTTAGAAAAGTAGCATGTACGGTTGAAAAATTCGCTTGATTCTAGGTTTTGCTGTTGAGTAGGCCATTTTATAACATCTGGACTCAATGAGCTAATGAACATAGTAACTCTGGCAATTATTTTACATACTGATGACAGGCATAGATTAAAACGATCCCCTAAGTCTCTATAGCTGCAGGCTTCATGTCCAGCAAACCATAAAAACACGAGCAAATGAGTTTTTTCTAAGAAGCCTTTTGTCAGCCCTTAAATTGTTGTAAAAGTCCGAAACAGAAAATCTTTGGCTAAGGCTTTCAAATAAGTTTCTGGAAATGCGGAAATGCATTCGAAACTCTTTTTCCGTGTAACTCGGCACTGTCAACTCTATATAATTCAATGCACAATTTCGTGGATTTTTTTCTTGTAGAAACAAACCAATATCATCTGATCTTAGTTCTTCTACGATCATACGTTCTTCCTCATCTTCGCTTTCCGATGAGGACGACTCCATTAACATCGAAACTACAGTGGCAATCGTCCGCTTTCTTGTCGTTTCTACGTAATAAGTATGTACATACATATGTATGTATAACGATAAAAATTACTTACAAAGGATAAATAAAGACCAAATGCACTATTACCTTCGCAATTCACAATTTGCTCCTCACAAGTGGTAATTGCAGCCACTCCGGCTGAAGATGCACTACTATTCTCGCGTATATATAGATTCTGGGCCTCTTCCTAATATATTTATGTACACAGTGAACTTTATAAACTTGTATATGTAATAAATATTTGTATATATTTACTTACTGTTTCCATTTTTCACCTTTTTAACAAAAGTACTTAAATTTTAAAAATTTTTTATTTTTCATCAGCTGCTTCCAATCAGCTGTATATTTTACTAGCAAAAGTTGCTAGTAAAAATTTATCCAGTAAAAATCCAGTAAAACTTGCAAGTTCAGCTGTCAATTTTGCTCTCTCAATTCTATCTCTTTTGCTGGTTTATTGCAAGTTTTTGCGTACGAAAACGACTTCCAGTAAAAACCAGTAAAACCAGTACTGGATTTTACTGGATAGTGCGTCGCGGACAGGACTATTACCTATGACCAAAAGAACGTAACAGCTCTACATATTCAGGCCATGCTTTGAAAAGCCAACTGAGTATCGGTAAAGGAAACTTGCGGTCATTTTATGTAACGAACCAAATTTTTATTTGTGCCAAATATGAAGTAGCAAGCTTTATACGTATAAATTTGTTTGTAGAACTTTTAAATTAATTTTTGATATGTATACATCTTTGGTTTCGGTAAGGGTAAAGCCCAGCAGAAAATTTCGAAGGGCTTAGCTTGTGTATTTCAGCATAAAATTTTAATTTCATTACAACCACCCTGTGTTTACTTGCTATTGTAAATGATTGCATACATTTAGGCATATGAATAGTAACAGGAAATGCGGTGCGATTGCTTATTTCTTCCGATTATGCAAACTCCGCACATGCATAAGTTTGTGTGTACATACATACATATGTATCATTTATTGCAACTGGTTTTAAAATTCGCAGATGGTTATAGGCATAGGTTCACTACTCTATTTTGATAAAAAAGCAAGGCGAAAAGTTAATAAAATCGTCACTAGACACGAATAAAGGCGCGAGCTTAAAAGTTGACGGCGAAAAAAGACGCACAAAAAACTTAAGCGTCAAAAACCCTTAACATACTTCGCCGAAGTTTTTCATAAGCATCTTTTTTCGCAAAATTTTCTACGGGCCTTTTTTCGCTGTCAAAACACTATCGTGCCTTTGGCTTGACTGGGACCGTTGATAACTGATGAACATACATACATATATGTACATATGTATAGTATACATATGTATGAATGATATAATAGCTCTGATCCAATACTTTTCGTGTTAAATCCTGGAAAAAGTCAAACAGCAAAATCCCTCTCTGAAGTGAGAGTAAAAAGTGAGTACCAGCAACACGTACAGAACAAAAAAGGCGTGAGCACTAGGTGCCTCATGAAATTTGATGTGTAAACATAAGCGAACGGCAAAGCATAAAAGTATATTTACATATAAATATAATCTCAATCAAAGCTCATTAGCTGTCAAATTCGTTGTGCTTGTTATTCACCCAACTCGAGAGAAAGTTAAACTTTTTCTCTGTGCCACCGTGGCCACTTTTTTCAGCTACACATATTATGCTCTTTAAATATATTTTAACTGAATACTTTATGAAAAATACCTTTACAAACCTCTTTCCCTTACTAGCGTCAATTTTTGTTTACTATACATTTTACATTCCTCCTCTTCTTCGCAAGTATAATCGATAAAACTAGGTTGGACACCAAAAAGTTATCAGTTTAAACGGGGATAATTTTATAATTATAATTTTGTATGGCTAATCTCTTTTTCTGATTACATATTAGGGAGTTAAGCTCGAAAATGTGGATAATCTTTTTATATGTAAAGCTAATATTAGGCGATTCAGTTACATACATGCACATGTAGGTTAGGTTAGAAATTAAACATTAATTTCAATTAATTTTATTCATTTCTCAGATTTAATTTTTTTTATTCATTTTCATTTTTAAATCTTTTAATAGATGAAATTATCGGTATGATTGATAAAATATGATACTTGTTTATATTTGTGGACGTTTAAATATCTTGAAAACACCGCATCAATTACTGTTTTTGAGCTTTTAGTTTGAGCATTTCTATTTGCATATATTCCTAAATCAAGTTTTTCTTTTCGGAATATATTCTGTGGTTCATGTAAATGAAAGCGATTTTTGGAGAGTTGTGTGGAGATTTAAGCTGCAAGATTTTACCCGATGCTTTTTTTGTTCCCTACGTTTTGCTGTTACTCACTTATTACTCTCACTTCAGAGAGTGATTTTGCTGTTTGACCTTTTTCCAGGATTTTACACGAAATGTGTTGGACCGCGGCTTTTATATCATCCATACATATGTATATTATACACTCTAAAAAGTGCATTAAAAACTACTACTGAAAAGTGTTTATTTTTCAACCAGAATCTGTTCAAGTATATGCACAAGATGTTCAAGATTTGATTTTGAACATGAGTTGTGTAAAATATGCACATGACATTTTTCAAATTACAAACATTTTGAAAGTAAAAATATATTTTTTTACAAATAATAAGCGCCGGACTTTATTATTATTTCAAAACGTAGAGATTGAGGTGTTGACTTAAAACACCGAAACCGCGGGTTCAAATCCCACCGCATGCAATCCTAACTATAGTTCAGACTTCTGCTCTTTGAAGCCCAATTTATATTCATCCGAATTGTTACAGGCCAACATTATATGCGTGCGTAAAAAGCTAACTCAAATTCCAAGATTTGTCTTGCGTGACAATTCGATTTGAGGTTTTTGCTCAATTGGCATTTGGGCGCGACTATGTATTCAAATTTTTCTCAGTAAACTTCTCTAAATTTGACAGAAATGCAACTCTGAGAAATCACGCACGCAAATTGATTTCGGTTTATCAAATGAGAAAAACTTGCGTGCGTGCGTATAAAAACTCTCGCCGGTAATATTAGGTTGAGCTGTTAATAACATTATTCTTGGAATGTGAGTTTATGACATTCGATGCGATACTAGGGTTCTGGTACTCGATTCCAAAAAATATCGTTTTAAAACTATCGAGTAGAAAATATCGGTATCGAATGCCAAAAGTATCGATATGGTATCGTATCGTATTGAAATTCGTGTCCCTAGCCAGACGTACTGCTGTTGGGAGTAAACGTACTCCTTTTTATTACAATGTACTCCAAAAAAAAATATCTGGAAATGTACTCCTTTGTACTTCTTATGTACTCCTTTTTCCATCCATGTGTATCATTTTCCATTTATCATATACAGGGTGTAAAATAATATCTGTTGCATAGTTTTTTTTTTTGAAAAATAAAAGAGGCCTTTATAGATTTTGCGAAAAAGTAGTTTATTGTTAATTATCCACAGATTTTACTTCAATTTTATTAATTTGTTTTTAAATTTTAACCTTCATTTGGGTTTTCCGGCGGTAAACACTTTGGGTGAAAAGCGCAAGTCTTCGTCGATTACTTTATTACATATCTTCTGTAACCATAGGCTAATTTAGCCAATTTGGGTCCTTTATACGCCGTCTTTTGTCCAACATAAGGCCTCATACTTAGCAATCGAAAAGACTCGGAACTGCTGACTAGGAGGGCATTGGTTCGACCAACCCTATACAGTTTTTTTTCTTTTTTTATAAAAAATCTAAGAAAAAAACAAAAGGCTGGCAAATGCAAATCAGGATTAAAATTTTAAAACCAATTAATAAAATTCTAGTAAAATATTTACAAAGTTAACTAAAAAAAAAACACAAAATCTATAAATATATTATTTTGCGCGCTGTACTTTGCCATTCACATTGTGGCAAACACTACTTAGTAAGTTAAGTGTGATAGTGAAAAGGTGTAAGCATAGCCTTAGGCGCAGGGCGCTCGGGTATAAAAATCAGAAAAATATTAAGTTAATTATAAGGCTTAAATTTAAAAAATTGTCATACATTCAGGAAGAGTCTGGAATTCTTTTGTAGTCTTTAGTTTTTTAGTTGGGGAAACTTTCCTATAAGGGCGGTCATTGAGAATCGAATTCTACGCAAAAATACTGTGGACGCAAGTGAAAATTGTGACTTTTGGCAATTTTTCTAAGGGGTTACGTAGGGGCCCTAGGTGGTCGGGAGTAACATTTTTGTCAATGGCGGTTCATGCCCTCTCCAAAAAGGTCGGAAAAGGTACCACGTCCACCCCCCCTTCGATCACCATCTCTTTAACAATCGTCCCTATTGGAAAGCCAACCCATATAGTTATTTATTTTTCACATTTATTGTTGCTTTGAATAAGATTTCTAAGGCAAAGGACATAGTGACGCGACAAAACATTTTCGGATAATAGCGAAGAAAGAGACAAGAAACGTAAAAACATAGTGAAGCAACAGTCTGCTCAGAAAGCAACGAAAACAATTTTTTTTGTTTTCGTCGCTATGCTCTTTGTCGCTTTCTTCGCTTTTTACTTCACTTTGTGCTGCTATATTGAAAAATAAAGGTTTGTTTTTGTCGCTAATAATCCAAAAATGTCTTGTCGCTCTCTTTG